GGGGGTGCAGGGCAGTCCAACTGCACTCTGGCCCCATGGGAAAAAGAGGACATGGCCTGGCCTCAACTCAGCCCTGCAGTAGGGAAAGGGAGAGTCAGAAGGGAAAAGTGGTGGGGCCTAGCCCTAATCCAGATACGAGGCAAGGAGTGTTGTCCAACTGCAACCAGCAGTGCAGGTCTTGGGGTTTGGGAAACTGGCGGGGGGAGGATGACAGTATTGATGGCCACTGCTTCCCCACTGCCAAATTTTCTGCCTCACGGGGAGCCCTGCAGGCCAAATGTGATGGCTCTGCAGGCCGCTTGGCCCATGGTCAGAGGTTGAGCACCTGTCGTAAACCAAGAAAAGAATATTTGAAAGCCTCTCTCCAGGTCAGCAGAACTTTCAAAGTTACATTTAAGAAACAATAAAAAACAGAAATTTTAGGGAAACAAGTTAACAGATGCTAAGAAAACAAAACAGCTAATTTTAAGCATCAAAAATGCAGCTATGGCACCAACATACTCCTATCTCTGCCAATTTAGTCTAGAAAATATTCTCTGGGTATGGACAGACCTGTTCACTTTTCTAATTCCCACTAGATCCAAGATTCAATGCAAATTCATACTATTTTGAGTATAAACTCTATACCTTCACAAAGCGTGGAAAATGAACCTTCCTCCACCCAGAGCATCAGCAATTCTTTTTGAATTACCACATCAAGCATCCTGTGTTACAGCTTTCTTTGCCTTGCCAAGGACTGGCTGGAGCTTAATTTATCTATCACGCTGCTGTTTCATTATGGGCCAGTAAATTTAAGTGTGCTACCAATCTGTAGGGGTGACGTCACTGTGATCTATTTGTAGGCACCAGGGAGACCTAATTAGGACTCCACTGGGTTGGGCTCTGTACAAACAACAAAAATACAAGCCTTGCTCCAGACAAAGCCTACAGTCTCAAAAGGGATACAGACAGAAGGGACAGCACAAGAACCCAACAAGACAATATTGGTCAGTATGGCAGGTGGTAGCTATGCTACATCTGTAGTTCTACAGTGGTAAAGTATTTTGTAACTGCTCAATCTTGCAAGACAGTATGAAGGCTTGTAGAACTGAGTACAGCTGTTAGATTTTCAAGCAGGCTTAAAGGTTAGAGACAGGACTGATCGGAGACAGGAATTAATATTTCAGTACCAGATAACAGAGGATAGATAGGGTAGGGAACCTTAGATCTACCAGCAGGCCTTTACTGCCCTGATTCCAAAAGACACCTTGACTTAAAAAGAAGCCAGAGACCAGGATTACATCGTTGACATCAATGAAGATGGTAAAGAGCTAGACTATGAGGCTTACATTTCAGCTGTCACCCTCTCTATATTTTGTCCTTTCCCTGACCCACCTTCCTTCTTTCCTCTCTTTTGCTTTCTGTTTAACGTCTGGCTTAGCCAGCCAAGACTGCTGTCAGTCAGTGACCAAACACATTGGTTGCAGTCGTTCTGAACCAGCAGTTGGTGGGTATAGTGTTTGCCTGGTCTCAGAATGGCTAACAGAACTGTTCCAATGCCTGCCTTTCTCTAGTAATAAGACTACAAGCAAGTTAGTAACAGAAAAAGAAGCAATATTTTTAAACCATTACTGTTAAACTTTGCACTCAGTTGTGTGTGTGTCCAGCTAAGAAGCAATATTGGACTACAAGAAAGAGTTATTATCACTGTTCGGGCCCATCTCAACTTTGTCTCCAAAAAGGAAAGTGTCAACAACTATCTGAAACAACATTTGAATGCCAAACATGATTTTTTCTCCCTTAAAAAACACTCTTCAACTGAAGAGAAAGTGAAAAAAAATAGAATGATAAAGGCATTTCTTAACATTTTAAATATTTTAACTGTTTCCTCTCCTCTCCCCTCCCCTCCTCCCATTTTTATTAAAAAGGTTAAATGGTGAGTGTTTACCACAGGATTAAATAGGCTGAAATCTGTACTCAACACCCAGAAAGTTCAGTTGGTTAATAGTGCACAGTGACAGTCATGTTAATATAGTTAATTTTGAGCCTTTCTATTCCCTCAGTATTAAAACAAAAAAGTTTGGGTAGTGTGGAAAGATTAAGAGCCTTATTTCAGCCATCTGATGCCCCCAGGGAACGATGGCTAGTTATCCATGATGAGATTTTAGAGATGTCAAAATGTTAATCTGGATGGAAGGAAAGGTATGTGGACTAGACAAGTAGATCTGCAAGTCATGAACATAGAAATAGCAGACAAATGTGTGTTTACTTGCCCCACTAGGAGAAAAAGTGCTATATGTATGAGAGTGGGGTTTTTTGTTTTTTAGTAAGAGTTGTAACTTTAAAAATTGCAAAAAGTGTGCTCTGAGCAAATGAAGGAACTCTTCAGGGAAAGACACTACATGAGAAACAGCAAAACAAAAACAAACAAACAAACAAAAACCACAGTAAGTGGAAGTAAGAGGAACAGAACTTGCAAGGTTATCATCATTTTGACCAGCACATTTGAGCAGTTATATTCCAGTACCATAGGGATATTACAATTTCAACTCAGCTGCAAGTGCCTTGGCACTATAAATACATATAATTTTAATGGTTCACTACAAAACTGATTAAACATCACTCACCTTTCGAACAATACTGTCTTCTACATTGGATTTCTTGTTGCTGCCCTGCTTACCCATTAAAGTAATTTCTAACTGACAAAATGGTTTAGGCAAGATATCACACTGTGTAAAGAATTTGCGCCACTCTACTATGTATGCTTTTAGTAAAGCTGTATCATCTTGATGACTCAGCACTCTCTGAAAGAGAAAACAGAGTTCATTTGTAAAAAAACCCAAAAAACCAAACCCCTCCCCCCCAAAAAAACAACCAAAACACAAAACCGAAAACTTATGTAAAGATGCAATGTATAGTTTTGTCTATGAAGGAAAACATTCAACAGAACCTAAGCAGTAAATTTTAAAAGACAGCTAAAATGATAACATTCTTATGCTGACATATGCATGCAGACTTCTTTGTTTAAAGTTTTAGTCGTGTATAAAAGTGGTTAAAACTAACCTGAGAAAAACCCATAGTTTTATTAAACTAAGAATGTCCACAGATGGGGCTATATCTATATGACTAGTCTATGTCGGAATGTTTTCAAGGACTGTTACTGCTTCACACACAGCAGAAAGTTGAATCAAATGCTATTTACTTGACTAAATTTACACAGCTACCTTATTTAACATTTATGACAGTCCAATCATAAATGCTACAAGGTAGGGAATCACTGCAATAGGCAATATTCAAAAACCACTAATCAACACAGAACACACGGGGTCTGAAAACAACAAAGCACTGAACACAAGACAGTCAAGTCAAACACGTCTGAATTTAAGTGCTTTGGTTTTATCGAGGGCTTGATAAGAAAGGGGTGTGGGTTCAAGAAAAAAGGCCCTTAATAGCATGAATGATTTTAAGAGGAATACATTTTAAGTTTCTAAACTTTTGTTTTTGAAGATCTTTAACCCTTTATAAAAGCTCTCCCCCCAACACACTATTCTGAACATCTCTTATGCATTTTAAAGTGCACAAAATCAGTTTTCAAGTTAACAATAGACTAAAACAGCTGAACTACCAAAATAGGCAAAGGTCTGTTGAATTTGCCAAGCTAGTAGTTTAAGCAGCATGGTAAGGCAGCAGAATACACTTGACTTTTTCTCAAACAAAATTATAAAACATGCAATTGTAGTATCAAAGGTAGGTAAAAATAGTTAGAAAATAAAAATTAACTCTTGAAAATGTCCATTTACAGATGATATATTCTTCTTAACAGAGTTTCTGGTTTGAAAAAACTGGCAGCTAAATGCAATGTTTCTAATCTTTTTTTAAAAAATTAGATCATCTTAATTTTATCTCCTTTACTGAGGGGCATGGAATAATTGCTAGCAGCATACCCTATAGTGATTTTTCTAGACCAAACAAAACCAAAAGTAGAAAGGGTTTTTTGTTGTACCTTTTTCATCTTTTTCTAATGAAAACAAAGAGACCCCTCTAATGCTTCATTTTGCCTGAAGTCAAGATTTATGAATAAGAACATCTACGCTGGAAGTCAAAGGGACAAGTATGTGAAGTAATATTCCCAAGGAGAATCCATAAGTAATACCCAATACAATAAAAATAATGGCCAAAACTCCCACACAGCATAACAATCATTGTTGCTGCATTCTCAAGAACACTGAGGGATGAACTTTGACTTTTGGGCGAAAGTAATGCTCAGGGTAAGTGATTAGGTTAATAATAGGTTCTTCAGTTTATGACCTTCAAAAATACACCAATATCTAAGAGGCAATTAGATTATTTTAAAAAAGTTCCTGAAACAAGATACTTTTGGCATCTCAACTAGTTGGGTTCTAGTTTTGTTTTTTATATAACAGATATATAAAAATGATAGACTGTTGAGAACTTACTGCCTGTGCCTGTTTAATGAAGTCAAGGATGTCTTCTTTCAAAGCCTGATGGATTTTTGCTGGACCCTTATCATCCCACAAGCAAACTGCATGCACATCCCTAGAAAAGAATTTATCATCTATCTTTCAGTGCAAGGTACACTTACCATTTAAAGCAGAAATTTACAAAGTCTAAATTATTACAACTAACACAGTTCTAAGAAAAATGTGTGCACTCTCAGAGCGTATCTATGAATAAGAGCACAAACCTTTTTCCAAGTCACAACATAAACTATTTAATGTTCAATTCAACATTGAAGTTTGAAAAGGAAAGCACTATTAAGTTAGTGTGTACAATAACTCCACCTTCTACTTGAATATCCCATAGTGGGTTTTTTGGTTTGTTTTTTAGAAATATTAGTGACACCATGACTAGAAGGAGAAAGGAAAATAACTCATTTTACTTCTAGGAAATTAGAAATCCCTGAAAGTCTAAATGACTTGACCAAGGTCACACAGGAAGTCTGTGGTAGACCAAGGAAAGGAACATAAAATCTCTTGACTTGTGTTTGTCCTTAAACAAAAGGCTTTTTGCCATTCCCAGAATTAAGGTCCCCAGAGCCATTTAAAACATCGAAATACCATGCTGTTTAGTATGCACATGAGAACCACAAACCTGAAGAACTGCTGTGTGAACATGTAAAATAGTTCTTATCCCGAAACTGGATCCCTATTGGATTTCCTATTATATGGAAAACAACTAGCCACCGACTTTAATAGGGTTCTAGGCAAGGATCCGATTGCAAGAACGGGACCAAAGCACGCACTCGTGAACTCAACAGTCTCCCATCAGGCACACTCTAATACTTCTGGAAGCAGTCCTAACTTACAAAGCTGAAAAAAAACATTTTAAAAGGCCATACATCTCAAGGAAATCAAAGTCAATACTATGTAGGTCCTTTCCATAATTTTTGACAGCTACGGATAAAAGCTTCTGGAGAAGGACATTAACAGGAGTGGCAGGCAAGCAACAGAAAAAACATCAGCAGTCCAAATGTGATGGAGTTCCACCTTTTCCTTTTAAGGGAATCTAGAGGGGATGCAAGAAGTCATTAAGTCAACAGTTTTCAAACAAACTACCAAATCACTGCTGATCAATCCTGACACTGGGACCTGATTTTCAGTGCTTCAACACAACCAGGTTCTTTATCATGCGGTGCTGAGGCACCTGTAGAATCAAATGGGAATAGGAAAAGCAAGCTTCCATCAGAATCCAATCATGCTTAAGAGGAGAATGCACTTTGGAATTACAGATGCCAATCACCATCTGAACTGCCCTTAATTAGAAGGAAAAACAGAACAACAACAAAAAAATTCGAGGGCTTTCAGGGGGGTGGAAAAAAAAGGAGAAAATAAACCAGGAGCCAAAGAATAGGGAAAACCAACAGCAAAGCAGCATTCCACGAGGCATGGAGGTTAGTTAACACATACAAAGACCATACAATCAGAGAAAAGGACCTGGCAGTAAGAAGTGAAACAAGGACAGCAAGATATGGAGAGGAAAGTGAAGGGGAGAAGCTAAACAAAGTAAAACCAGTTCTTCTTTTCAAAGCAATACTTAGAGAAAATGGAAGACTTCAATACTTTCCTAATGTTACTTTTATTGAGAGGCAATTACCATCATTAACAGATATATGTTGCTCACCATAGATTACATACAACCTTTCATGCATCTCTCAGATGCACCTTCACTTTGAAAAAAATTTCAGAGTCCACCACTACAGCTTGCAGTTTATGGGCTGTGCAAAGGAAACTGACCTCATAAGAAACATGAGCTCAGAGGTATCAAGTACCTCAAAACTTTCAAGGCAACATTAATGTTCCAAGACATTTGTAGCTTTTTAAAGTACATTTCTAGTCTGAAAGAGAAACCAATATTGGCATCACTGTGTCACTGCACCTAGATCAGATTTGATCCTCAAGGAAAGACATCTATTTCCTAAATGACAGTCCAGACATCCATCAACCACATGCAGGATTCTATGGCCCCAACTATGCCCTCACTTATACCACCAAGGTTCATATCAAATAATGTGCAACAAGAATCCATTTGATTCATTGTCATCTTTTAGACCACCAACAGCATGTCTGCCAAAGTTGTAACGATAACTTAAAAGCATTAATTTATATTAATTCAATAGAAACTCTGGTGCAGACACTTATATCAGTGTAAGAATGGCATTTTTTTAACTAAGAACAAAAAAACCCTTATGAAACCAGAATGTACAAAAGACTTTGCACACGTTAACAATATTGGTTTGAAAATTAATTAGACCAGGAGGTAGGCAACCTCTGGCATGGGTACCAAATTGTGGCACACAAAGGCATTTTATTTGGCGCACACGCCTCGGGGCAGATGGAAGGGAAGAGGCCAGCACTGTATTGTCACAACAAGGTTCAGGCCCCTTGCAACTCCCCCGTATCAATTCCTGGCATGCCGAAATTCCAGGTCAAAATTGAGGCCCTCTGCTCAAAAACACTGCCGATCCCCGAAACCCAGGCCTCAAAGATTTTCCCCAACTAAACTGAGAAAGGAACATCAAATTAAGCTTATGTTCCATTATAGAATTTGCTTCAAAATATCTAAGTTGGAAATAATTCCTTTAAGCTGAATCAACAGCTTTGAATCAGGACTGGGGATCAGTTAAGATGAGTTTCTTTTATCTTGATCTTATGTAATCTTGAGTTATGTAATTGCTAAAGTTGTCCTATACAGTTCACCTTTTAGCAGAAATTAAAGATGGAAATTCTCAGCCCCAAAGGAAAATTGTTCAGATGGTTATGAATGAATGAAAATAATGTTACAACTGAACAATTCTGCATCCTTAACCAAGTCATGTTTTTGGCAACCACTGCGGACATATCACAAGACTGTAAAACTACCTGCATCCTTTGTTTTAACAAGCAGCAACATGTACAGCTTAAACAGGAAACCCATGCTTGGTAACAAGGTAAGGGTGAAGTAGTAACAGCCTTGGCCAAAGGGAGGGAGCAAGATGTGCACTGCAAGAAGAGTAACTTATATAACAGAGATGGCAAGACTTTTGGTCAGTGTGTCAAAAAACAGCAATGTAAGCTGCTGGACTGCCAGAAAAAAAAAAAAAAAACAAAAAACCCAGGGCTGCAGGTACATAATCATAAGCATTGTTTTATTTTTTGGTTTTTGCTTTCCTTCTTTTTATTTGTTTTTTCTACAATAAATACCAGGTTTTCTAAAAATTCTAAAACTGGTCACAATAAATAAAACTTCATATACTACCTTTGTTGTTGTGTATTTTTTGTTCAGCATGTTGTGATGAGAGAGAGAAAAGAGAAAGAAAAAAGAAAAAAAAGAGGGAGAAAGGAGAGGAAAGTGACAGTGTTGGGGGAAATGAGCAGAGGGAGAGAAACCACTT